TCCCCTCTTCTTTTTGGGGGGGTGGGGGGGGTGGGGTACCTCCTAATGAAGAGCATCCCATGCCCAGAACACTGTAGTTGACTGTAGACATCATAGCTTCATTGATCACCGGAGGCGATGCTTTACTTCCGGCCCTGAAGTTACGGCACTCCTACAGTAACAGGTTGAGTTGTGCGCTTTAGACCCCGCCCACCTCCGCCAAATTCCCAATTTGTTCCTGTGAATGGACAAAGGGAGATCCCGACTCTTACCTATTCCTTCTCACCCACTCACAAAATACCTTGTATTCGTTTCACAGAATGTCAGGTGTTCTGTGAATGGACAAGAGGCGATCCTAATGTTTACTCCCAGAATGTAAGGCGTTCTGTGAATGGACAAGAGGCGATCCTAATGTTTACTCCCAGAATGTAAGGCGTTCTGTGAATGGACAAGAGGTGATACTGATGTTTACCCCCCACCCCCCTTTTCAATTAATAAAAAGCCTTGTTTTCCTTTCACAGAATGCCGAGTATTATATGAATGGACAAAAGACAATCCTGATGTTTACTCCCAGAATGTAAGGTGTTCTGTGAATGGACAAGAGGCGATCCCTGCATTCCTGCCCCCACCCTGGTCAACTCACATTAGTCAAGTCTTGTATTCTGTTCACACAATGCATGGTGTTCTATGAATGGACAAGGGGAGATGCCAATCAGTAGATACTACAGACACCTCTTCTGGTGCGAGGTGTTCTTCCCCCATCTATTCATAGGAAGCCTTGTATTCTGTTCACACAAAGCATGGTGTTCTGTGAATGGACAAGGGGAGATGCCAACGTTAACCTGCCCCTCCTTCGTTCACATAAAAAAAAAAATATATATTTTTTTTTTTATGTGAACGAAGGAGGGGCAGGTTAACGTTGGCATCTCCCCTTGTCCATTCACAGAACACCATGCTTTGTGTGAACAGAATACAAGGCTTCCTATGAATAGATGGGGGAAGAACACCTCGCACCAGAAGAGGTGTCTGTAGTATCTACTGTCGATGAACCTCTGATTTCACAGATTTGGGCCTGAGATGCTCTTCAATAGATGCAACTTACTGTACTTGTACTGTCCCCTCCCAAGTCTAACGTCGCTGAAATCGTATTTTTGGAGTCGGGGGGAGGAGTCAAGGCCTCATCAAGTTTTTTATTTTATTTTTGGGCTGTGGGAGATTTTCCTCTCACTTCCTGTCTGGTCTACGGGGACACAAGAACCACATTTTTTGTTTTGTTTGGTATGGTAACCAATTCTCCCCCTCCCCCCACTCCATCTAAAACCAGGGGCTTTAGATTGAATCCCTTTACAGGGGAACTCTGCAAAATGAAACACACACATGATGGCCCAGACCCAGCGGGGTTTTTGTCTGAGTCCCCCCGCCCCCGAGTTTGATCCAATGAAATTGTGACGTCTGTGGCACCGCGTCCCTCTTCTATATCAAAGGGCGATGCGGCTGGTCAGGTGACACGACAATCGAGTCCCACACACAGACTCGGTAATGTATCAGATGATTGGGGAATGAAGAGCATTCATTGGGGGACACATGTGGAAGTGGGCGGATCTGATGCAGTAAAAGAAATAGAAGTGTCTTGTATTTATTTTGTGTTATGATATCACTTTAAGGATCCTTTAAAGGAGAACTATGAGGTCAGTGTTTTTCCCCCGTGGTTCTCCCCAGGGTCACAGGATGACATAAACTAGCGTCCTCCCGTCACCCAAAGCGCGGTATACCGCGAGCTGAGACGCCGCAGTCGGGATGGATCCTGGCAATACTGTCTGGAACCGCCCAGCTACGTGATTGACAGCTGGCTCTGCCTATCTAGAGGCAGAGCCAGCTGTACTCGCCCCCTCCCCCATCCGTTCCGCCAGTCAGCGCTGGAGGATCGGGGAGGGGGGAATCCCTGCAGGGAGCGGTGAGTGACAGTCACGGCTCTCTGCAGGGATAGATTGAGAAGTGAGCGAACGACGGTATGTGTTCTCTCACTTCCCGATCTATAGAGCCGACGTGTGACAACTATGAGGATGGGTGAAAATCACTCGCCTCATAGTTCTCCTTTAAATATCTTTTCTATTCTATTCTTATGTTTAATATTTATTTATTTTATTACTTGTGTAGATCTAAAATATGTTTTTAGGGATCCTGTCACTGAGTCTGTCTGTGGGAATCCATTGAAGTGGCCCCTGAAGAGCCCCATTGCCCTTCGTGGACGTCTCACAGAGCTTTATTGTGCCCGGACTTCCACTTTAAGAGCCGCTGATTGCTGAGCCGGCAGCCATGACACATTTTGATTTCACCGGTTTTGGATGTTTCTTCCCCAACTTGTTTTACGTGTTTTCTGTCTGAATAAGTCTAATAGGACTTGTGGGCGGGAACCGCACCCGCCATTACATGTCTGTTCCACTTTCCGAAATTGGGATTGCAGTTGCTGTGAAAGCCTTTTGTCGGAGTCCATTCAGGGACGCAGGACGACAATACGGATCGGGTTATACTGCCACCTACAGGAGGATTGGGCAATGGCAAAAGAAAAACATTGTACGCCAGCCCAGGATAAACCTCCCCTCCCCCAGCATGTAGCCGAGAGCATGATCATAGACACAAAAGGGTGTGACGTGTGTCCCTCAATGGGCTCGAAGAAAAGGATTTTGGGGCGAGCACCTTTTCCTCCAGCGAGGGACACAGGCAGTCCTATAATGTCGGGACCTCCGACTGAGAGGTGGGCAAGAAATGGTTAAACCTTTCCCAGCAGAGCTGAAGAAAAGATGCCCATCCTGCTGGGACACTAGCAACACACTGAGGCATGCTGGGAGTGGGAGGAGTTACCCTGGATGGGGCTGCGGATTTTGTTTGTCCAATCCTGAGCTGAGGAAAAGATGCCCATCCTGCCCGGACACTAGCAACACGGTAAGGCATGCTGGGAGTGGGAGGAGTTACCCTGGATGGGGCTGCGGATTTTGTTTGTCCAATCCTGAGCTGAGGAAAAGATGCCCATCCTGCCCGGACACTAGCAACACGGTAAGGCATGCTGGGAGTGGGAGGAGTTACCCTGGATGGGGCTGCGGATTTTGTTTGTCCAATCCTGAGCTGAGGAAAAGATGCCCATCCTGCCCGGACACTAGCAACACGGTAAGGCATGCTGGGAGTGGGAGGAGTTACCCTGGATGGGGCTGCGGATTTTGTTTGTCCAATCCTGAGCTGAGGAAAAGATGCCCATCCTGCCCTGACACTAGCAACGCACTGAGGCATGCTGGGAGTGGGAGGGGTTATCCTAGATTGGCCTCTGGATTTTTTTCTGGATCCTCTTGTAGGCGGCAGTATAACCCGACAGTACAAGGATTTATGTGTCCCTCAGTGGACAAGAAGGAATGTTTTTTGAACTGATCCTTATAAAGGAAAAGTCCTACTCTTATTATTTGTATGACTCCTCCCAAGGAGGAGTTATCTGCGGCCTGTGACTGCCGCTCCCTCCAGGTTTGCTGATGTCACTGCCATAGTATTCGATGTTCTCCTTGCTGGAGGGGAAGCTGGACCTGCAGTGCAAGGATCTCCCTGCTTCTACCTCATCCATTGTATGCGTCTGTATTCCCTCCACCTCTATCATTACCCCATCAGTCACCAGCAGGGGGGGAGGTAGGGGCAGCTGTGGCATGAGGGTAGCAAAGCCCTGCCTCTACCAAGATGGCCGCCGACACAAAGAACATATCAGTTTTGTAGATGAAGGCCCAATGGCAGGGAGCCTCCCTGCAATACTGGTGACTGGCTGACTTTTACAGTACAGGTTCTCTTTAAACAGCTGAAGACACGTCACACCCATGTGTTCTCTCTCTGACCCTCACAGAGTCCTGCTCAGCTGTCATTGCGATTTACAAACCCCCTGAAGTTCCTGAAATGACTTTGGCTCGCGGTAGATGAATTGATAATAATTTATTGCGATCACATAAGAAATGGTGCCGGGTGAAGGATTTCAAGTCTCTGGGGCGGGCGATATTGAGCCTTGCCCTTAGTGCAGTGATGGCGAACCTTGGCACTCCAGCTGTTTTGGAACTACAAGTCCCATGATGCATTGCAAGGCTCTGACAGCCACAGACATAACTCCCAGAGGCAGATGCATCTTGGGATTTGTAGTTTTGGCACAGCTGGAGTGCCAAGGTTCGCCACCACTGCCTTAGTGTATGCGATCGAAGTTAGGAGACTGGGTCCAGGAGGTGTTTTGGAAGGGAAATATTGAGCCACGCCTCTCGTACCAATTAACTCCGCCCTTTAATGTCAACACCCTGCGTAGAGCAGGAAAATTGTTACCAAAATGTTCCTGGTGCCTGTAGACTGTTTGGTGGCTTATTTATGGTATGTTGGTACCAGGAAAGGTTCCGCTGTGGAAACTTTGATATCGCAGTGACAACCTAACCTCCTAGGCACTGCTGCCTGTGTCCCCAATGGGCAGATTTCCTGCCGTGGTGACCCCTTGGGACGTGAGGCATAATCTCCCCCCAACAAGGAAAACCCAACAGGGTCTCTTAACAAAAATGCTCAGGCACCCGGATCGGGCAGCGGGTCCATGGATGGGAACGGTGGGGGGGATGGGTGTAAGGAGACATCCCCACCAGCCCAGGACAGCGGGGTGACGTTGGGGACCACCCAAAGCCATGAGGTCACCATCTAAGTACTTCCTCCACCCCCTTCCTGTGTTGTATTGATTATTACAGGTGCTCTTTAAACACCCCAGTGATTGATTAGTCCGTGTCTCGAGCATTGATTATAGTGTCCATGCCCCGCCCACTCTAAGGCACGATTGGCCGATCTCGGGTTCCGCCATTTCTCCATCAGCGTGGAGTCTTCTTGGTGCCGGCGCCGTACAGGTCGGCCCTGCGGTGGCTCTGCACCGGCATCTCCCGCCGCACACGGTGGAGGTAAGCCAGGTCGATCTCTGCGTAGCACACCCCGGGCCCGTCCCGGCACTGAGCTACCACCGTGCCCCACGGGTCCACCACCATGGCGTGGCCGTAGGAAGTCCTGCGCTGGTTGTGGCTGCCGGTCTGTGCCGCGGCCACCACGTAACACTGGTTTTCTATGGCTCGGGCCCTCAGCAGCACCTGCGGGATAAGGAGGAAGTGTCAGCGGCACGTGGGGAATCAGACGCAGTACAGTCAGCACAATCTATTGCAGCCAGAATGCAGGTAATACCTCACAGTGTGACTGGGGGGGGTACTTCCTGAAATCTGTGCTCAGCCATTTCCTGTCTGCTCCCTGTGTCACCAATCACAGCTTCCCAAGGCAGGCAGGGTCCCAGTACTGATGTTTTCTGCATGTGAGCTGGGGGTGGAGCCTGCAGGGGGTGTGTCCAGGAGGTCCTGTCCCTCATCACATATAGGGGTTCCCAGATCACCAGGTTTGCTGACTGTCCTGCAGGAAGGATGTCAAGACTCTCCGCTCACCTCTCCCCCATAGGACACACATCCATTATAAGCCTTTTTATTGGGCCCATCAACCACCTGACATGACTCCTCCCACTGCATCATTCTGATTGGCCCCCCTCATCCTGTAGGTCCTATGTACAGCACATGGGCTTCCTACACGAATAGCCAATAGGGCGGCGCCCTGATTCGGCCCCCCCCCTTCCTCCTGGTACTGGTTCAACCCGTCCTTAATACAGACTGACCTCCCAGTGCGCCAGCCCTGTGGTGACGGTGAAGGCCGAGGGGTAGGTGAGAATTTCGGCTCCTTCCCGCGACAGCGCCAGCGACATTTCAGGAAAGCGAAGATCGTAGCACACGGCGAGCCCGACCTGCCACAAAGTGAAACGCATGTCCTGGGTCATCAAAGTGGATCTATGGCTGACTTTACTGTTCAGTTTTATATGGAGTAGGGGGGGTCACCACAACAGGAAGTGATGGGAAATCCAAAATGTTAGGAGTTGTCACCGAATCCAGAATATAGGGAAATCTTCCGATGGGGACCCCAGTTCTGATGACAACTACAAGGGGATTGCCAATCACTTTTGAGAGATCTCATTTGACTTCCTGTTGCGTCTAGAGGGCAGGAAGTGGAGAAACCTCTCCCACATGGGTCAGGGAAAAGGGCTGGGGCAGTGATGGGTTTTTTTTTCTGGGCCCAGGGCTGTGCTACAGAGGGCCTGGGGCAGCACTGGTGAGGGGCCAGGGCTAAGCTAGGGGGGGACCATGGTAGTACTGGGGCGGGGCTTGAACAGCAATGCTCTGGGCCCAGGGCTGTGCTACAGAGGGCCTGGGGCAGCACTGGTGAGGGGCCAGGGCTAAGCTAGGGGGGGACCATGGTAGTACTGGGGCGGGGCTTGAACAGCAATGCTCTGGGCCCAGGGCTGTGCTACAGAGCGGCTGGGGAGGGGCTGGGGCTAAGCTAGGGAGGGACCATGGTAGTGCTGAGGGGAGGGACTTGAATAGCACTGCTGTGCTACAGAGGGGCTTGGGGATGGCTGTACT